TGAGGATTAATTTCAATATGACCTTTGGGGGCATATTCAGTCTGTTACACACATTTTCCTCTTCTAAGAGTTTCTGAATATTTCAGTATCTTGTGTGACCTTCAAATTCTCACATCACAAATCATCTGATTCTGGAATTTGTAAGCTGCTTCTTTTCATGCCAGGAAATACACAAGTATACCAAAAATCCTCCCCCTTTACTTCTCACAGTGTTTCAGAAACAAGCCACTTTTCAAAAAATAATAGAACTAATATTAAATTAATTGAAGAATACTGTTAAGCTGCCAGTTCCTTCCAGCTTCCTTACAAAGCAGGTTCATGTTATTCTCTATCCTAGGCCTTTTGTTCAGAGTTGAGGACTTATTCTACCCCTAGTCACTGAGCATGTTCCAGGTAATCCATGCCTCCAGGTCTAGGCCAAAGGGAGTCCAGGTGCCAGCAAAAGAAGGAAGGTCTTCCCTCATTCTGTTCTACAGCTCACTCAGGAATGACTTCTTTCCAGAATGACTGACAACTGAAATACTCAATTCCTTCAAAAACAAACCCATTCTTATATACGGCCAAGCTGTTCACAGTACATTGCTAGGATGACATATAGCATACTTTCCAAAGCCTGTGTGCTTTAGGCTGTCCCCAGTTTGTAGGACCTCAACAACCCAGTGGAAGTTAGGTGGTGCCAAATGAGTATTCTGTGATGGACAGAATAATGGTTTCCAAAGATGTTTGCATCCTTCCTGTGTATATGTGTGAGACCTTATAGGATGAAAGGGACTTTGCAGATGTGATTAAGGACACTGAGAGGAGGGACATGATCCTACACTATATGGGTGGGTCCAACATAATCACAAAATCCTTAACAACAGAGAACCTTTCTTAGCTGTGATCAGTGGTAGATGAGACTAGACTAATCACAGAGATGCAACCTTCCTGGTTTTGCAGGGGAGAAGGAGGGCCACAAGGAAAGGACTGTGGGCAGTGTATAGCTGTGGGCAGAGGCAGGAAATGGATACTCCCTGAAGACACAAGAAGGAATTTAACTCTGCCAACACCTTGATTTTAGCTGGGGGGAGCCTATGTCAGACTTCGGACCTACGGACTGTGGCAATTTGTTGTGGCCGCAATAGAAAACTAATATTTATTCCTTTCAGTGTGTCCTCATTAGGGGTACAAAATACACAGAGCCTGACCTACGAATATACTAATTATGTTATTACACTTGTTATACTTGTAATGTGGGTTCATTCTGAATGTGGTTTAGGGCATTTTGGTAAACTATAGTTGTGTACCTATCTTAGTCATTTTGGGATTCAAGAACATTATCTAAAACAGTAAATAAGGTTGAAATCCATAGGAAGACTCTTTAAACCAATTAGAAATAGATTCTCCAACTCAGGGTTTCCCAACCTGGCACTACTGACATGTTGGGCCCATGGAATTCTATGTTATGGGGGATGACGGAGCTATCTTGTATATTTTAAGGTTTTTAGCATCATCCCTTGCTCCTACTCACTAGATGCCAATCCTACATCTTCAATAACCAAAAATGTCTCCAGACATTACCAAACGTCCCCTGGGAAACAAAATCTCCCATGATCAAGAACCACTGTCCTATTCCAAATATATCTTCCAGGATGGGGGGAAGCAAAGCCGTTTCATAATAAGGATAACTTTGCTATTTTAGGATATTACAATGTTCAGCTGAGAAATATACATGGTAGGACATGTCTTGAATTCTTAGATTTCTATATTTCCAATACATGGATCACACAATGTCAGGGATACAAGTGTCGACTTTGATGTGATTTAGGTATCAGAACCTTCTTGGCTAAATGCTCTGTACTTTCCTCCTCTTTTAATACAAGCTCTTATTCCATGAGTCAATTGTTTTTCCTGGCAAAGTGACTCAGAATTGCACTAAATAGAGCTAGACGCAGTGGCTTCTCTTGTAAGGGCATGGCATGACTTCTTAGGCAATCATATACCAACACAATCCTGCAGTAGCTTCGGGTTACAGGGTACAGGCAAGTGGGCAGGAAGGAGATGTCACCTTAGAGCTGCCCACTGAGAAGGGCAGGACTTCAAATGTAACTAAAGTAACTGAGGTCAAAATTATTAGGTGGGATCTATGATTGGGGGGGAGGAAATTATTAAATTAGATGTCACACACACAATTTGTACTCTACTTTTATTCCATGGACAAGACTTAGCTCTGTTAGCCCTAAAGGTTGGCATCTCAGGCTGCTACATGCACAGAAACCAAAGGTTATCTATTCTTCCCAAATATAGCAATGATCTAAAAATAGGGAAGTGATTTAGGAACTAAACAGAGCAACTGAGTTAGTTGTTTATACCATGTGAATAAGTCAGAGGATGAACTCAGCCCACAATAATTTGAAAATGAAGAATCCAGTCTAGGGCAAAGCTTAATCCATCATCATGATCATATGAACCCAAAAGAATATATTAAAGAAGTCCAACATCTAAGGTCTATATTAAGTATTTGGGTGAGATTTCACTCAGACTATCAGTAAATCACAAAGATTTCTTTCATGAGACAGAGAGATTTTAAATTGTAATTTTCTGCAAAATACATTTATAATATTTATTTTTCTCCAGTTATTTTCTCCAGTATTAAAATGTAATTTTCCACAGTTATATTTGAAATACATTTATAGTATTCAGTGGTAATTGCTCATGGAAGTAGGATTTGGAAATGGAAAAGAAACTAAAAACTGAGAGATAAATGAGTTAATTTGGCAGGGTTCTACTTTAGAAGGTTTTTATAAATATACTTTCTATCATTAATAATCACTAACAATTGGAAAAGAGACCCTTTTTAAAATAAATTCTCATTGTCCTTTATCATTAATTCAATGTGATATGTGAGTTATATCACAGATAAAGGAACTCTAGCTATCTCTCTTCAAATATTTCAAGGTCTGTTACTTTAGAGGTAGATTAAGCCCTTAAGTATTTCTCCATGGATGAAAATTTTAGAAAATCAGGTTTCAGAATAAAATACAAAAAACCCCTTTGTCAATGTTGTTTAATGAGAATTGCTTAACCCTAGACTGAGGCTTACTGCAAATAAGCAAGGCTGCCTTCTCATTTATTTAAAATGGTCTATATAAGAGATTTGATTTAAAGGAGAGGCCAGACCAGACACCAGCAAGCAAGTCTTCCTTGAGTACAACCCTCCAGGGATCCCCAGGTGGTAATCTGCTCTGGACACTTCTCCATAGCTTAGAGGTGACAACAATAATACCAGTGACTACCCGTCTCTTTTCAGTTCTCACCAAAGCTTGCTAGGAAGCACCACCCTGTCTCAGTAAGGGCCTATGATAAGGTACACTGCACCCCAGCTGCCTGATGCTGGTCTTTCCCCACTGGGGCATTCTTAGCAGAAGTGCTGAGCAGCAACCTCAGGGGGATGTTCCCATCTATTGCCTTGTACTCAGGGCTTATTCTCACCTGGTGAGGGAGGTTGAAGAGGAGGTATTGGTGAGATAATATGTCCTTTCCATTCTGGAAAAGTTTTTATCCCTATTTCCCCCAAGGATTTGACTGGAAGGACATCTGGAATGACAGATACTAGTTCCAGCCTCTCTCTCTTCTACCTCCCACCCATAGGTTATGGAGGGTGGGAAGATTATGTGGTGGGAGCTGTAAGCAATGCAGTCTTCCCAGCTATAATTAGGGCCTCTGCCCACACCTCTGTAAGACACAGTTTACTGAGAGGTGAGAAGGACACTGTCTCTGATTCCCATTCTTAGCCACTATCACTTGTTAGTGTCCCATGGACATGTGGATTTTCATAGTTCACCCCTTCCCCTTCAGTGAGGTGAGTAAAGTGATCTACTCAACTGCCCAGGGTTTTTGGTGGATACAGTGTCTACTCAGTGGTAACTACCTTAGATACAAAAGATTAGCTCTGGAAACCATATCTGGGGAAAAAAGCTACATATGCACTTAAAAGTATCATAAACTTGGTGGAATTTGAACCTTGAATGATTGATCATGTTAAAGAAGTATTACTTATGTTTTAGGTATGATCGTGTTATTATAGGTACACTAAAAGATAGATACCTTATCTTTTAAAAAGACAGGCCAGGATGAAATATTTATTAATGAAATGATACGTAGTCTAGGGCATATTTATTTCAAATTAATCCAAAAGTAATGGGGAGTAGGTATGTACATAGGTAAGACAAGTGCAGCCAATTAGCTTATTGGGACTATAGGGGCAGGTAGAAGTTATGTTCTGTTCTCTACTTTTATTTATATTTGAAATGTTCCCTACTATGGGGTTTTAAAGAATAAACGTAGTAAATATGGAAATAACTAGATAGGTTTCAAATATGTGAAATCCATTAAAAGTTCTTTTATAAATGACATTTCATTTGATGAATAAAACCAGGACAAAGTATCCAGTGTACAAACCAAATTTTACTATTGGAAGACTTTCTGCAGGAGATTACAGGTAAGTAAAAATTTAGGCCTAGAAAATTAAAATTAGATCACATACAAGGAAGGTAAAATGAGTAGTCTTAACCAGTACATATTCTTTCTTGGCAATGATACTTTTAGGTTAGTGGTAAACAATCAAGACTGAACCAAAAAAGATTTATTTCTGAAAGTTCTGGAATCCAGTTATGTCTCGTAGCAGAGTTAATCTGCTGTGTCCCAATTTGGTTTCTGTGAAAATGAGAGATAGTAAGAAACTTCTCAGAGTCATCCTTTCTGTTCCACTCATGGTAAGTTTGGTCTTAAATATGGACATGATTCTTATCACCAAAGGGATTGGAAATATTCCGTAGTCCCAATAAGCTAATAGCTGTACTTGTTTTAAATTACTGAGATGTGGCATTAGGGATTAGGGAGTGGTCCCTAATCCTCCTATTGGACTCATCTGGCTCACTACTAAAATGTAAGAGAAACTGAGCTATCTGGTCCTTTCATTCTAACTTAGAATTTAGATGTCTGTCACAGTCCAAATTCTACGTACTGAATTCAATAAAAGGTTTTCATATCACACTGCAGTTGCCACTGAGGAATTGAATCAGGAAATGGACATTTACCACCTGAGACAGTGTCCTGGCCACTCCAGGTAGGGTCTAACAATGAAATTTTGAGTGTCCTTGGGGTGCCAATCTCCATTAAATATAAATCTTTTAGTGCCATTATTACTATCTTGCCTTTTTTACAAATAAGGAAACTAAGGTACAGAGTTTAGGAAAGCACCTGAGGTCATATAACTAGTCAGTGGATTTAAAACTAGATCTCTGCTACTATAGAACCCATATCCTTGTCACCACACAAACCTGTGTTATTCCACACACACAACAGAGACTAATAAAATGTACCAGAGAGTATGTTCTCTCTGGCATTGATTAGATAAACGTTTAACATTTTGTTGATTCATCAGGAAAGTCACCCAGCTAGTTCCTTTATCCTTCACTGCAGCTAACCCTCCAGTGCTATAAAATACTTTTTCTTCCAGAAGTGATGATAAAGGGATATGGCAAAGAGCCACTCATATGTTTAAAAGTAGTCATTAGTTTTCCATATATATACATATTGGTTTTGGTGGGCTGAAAGTTAGACTAAGACAAAAGAATCCTTGAAATGGATGCCTGCAATAATCAAAAATAACTTCCAACTAGAATTTAGAAAACAACCCACTCTAAGGCAAGTTAAAAAGTTGTTAACAAGTCTGTTAAATGCTAGAAAAATTAATTCCTGTCCAGGGCAGAAATAAATCTAGACCTGCAGGAATATAGGCAAGGTGGCTACATGATTTGAGAAATAGGTAAGAAAGAAGAAAACTCCTTTCATGTAGGAGTTTTCGTAGGATTAGAGGAATGGCTGATCTTGCCTCCATAAACTCAAACTCTTAGTTCTGTGTCACCAGCCTCACACATGATCACCAAGAATCACTGTATAATTTTTAAGTCGATCCAGCTGCCATGTCCTTGTTAGCCCTAAGGACAAGTTATGTGGCAGGAAAACTGAACACAATCCTTCCTTTTTGAAAAAAAGTATTTATCTCCCTATAACCACTGGAACAACATGTGGCTAATCATACCCTTCAAGCAAGGATTCACTAGTATTTGGCTCAGAATAGCTGTTAATTAAATGGCATCTTCTCTATGACAAAACGTACCAGAGGCCCAGCAACACTTGAAGGTAAAATAAAACATCGTGCTTTCTCGTTTTGATACTCACATGGTAGGCTACATCAATCCTAATCCAGGAACTCTTTGCTTTTGGGTATCATATTATGCATTTCAAGAAGATGTCACTTATAAAGGTTAGTGCTCCTTTGTGTTTTGTTAGGTTTTCTCATGAATGGTAGACTGATTATTTGCTATGCTAGACTATAAGACATTCTAGGTATAGTAAATTCATTCTTTCAATTAAACATGTGAAAAGGATAAAGAATGGCGTAGACTTACTTATAACCTCTGTCATGGAAATCTCATGGTGCTATGAGGCAAAAGGTACAAAATGAGTAATACCTAATTGCAATCAAGGAATCAAAGTTTATGCATTTTCTTAAATTAGAATCCTATGTTTTTTCCTATAATATCACTCTCCCAGGACCTCTGCAGTGGCACAGCAGTTGAGCGCTGGGTTGCAAAGCTGCCTGCAGCCTCTGCAATGCCAGTTCGATCCCCGCCACTGGGCGAGGGTCCCACATGGCACGCAGAGCCCTCCTGCCGCCTGCTGCTCCCCTCAGCAGTGTACTTCGTCAGTCTGCCTGCTCTGCTCTGCTCTCCGCTCTGGCTCTGGTGAATTCTCTCACCCTCCCGCGCTTCTGACTCTACCTAGTGCTTATATAAATAAATAAAAATCTTTAAAAAAGAAATCATTCTCCCAGATTTATATTTTGTTAAATTCTAGATTTGGATTGACTGTAAATAATAAAATTTCCAGTTCAGAGTGAATGTGCTAACATAACTGAAGATTCTTAGGGGGATTAACATCATCAGATAGGCCTTGATCAAGGTGTTAAAAGTGTTATCTGGACTCCATTTCTTTTATATTGATTTCATTTTCATGTAGACTCTAGGAAGTGATAAAACAGCTTTCCTTGTAACTTAGCAACACCAACAGGAAGAAAATCTTTCCTTCACAATAATGCCAACAAAACTCTGTAATTGAGGCTCACTGTATCAGTGGGGTCACTGGTCTACAAGTGGCATTAAATATGTGGATTTCTTAGACAATTATTCAACTGAGCAGATGGTGAGTTTTCGGTTCTACTCAACTATACACAGGTAGAGAATAAAATGATGTTGCAAAGGAAAATTAAGATGCTGTTTCCAGCAAAAAGAAAAATGAGACAATACAGGCAAACCAAGAGTATTCAACTCTACACAGCAGGGTGGACATTGAGCAAGAACATTTATCAAATGCACTTAATAGACAAACCTAGCTTATGTTTTACTCTCTAGTATGACAAAACCAGCAATTCTATTATGGTAGTATTTGTGAATTTAATTTTGTAAATCTTTCCGATTTGTTTTCTCATTTTATTAATAGATAAATTTTGAACAAAGAAGAGAACAAGGGAAAATGCAGAAAGAGTAAGTAGAATATTTACATAACTTTTTTTTATTTACATAATTTACATAATTGCTCAGAAACTCAGTTTTCCTTGTGGGTATATGAAAATAATTATTCAACTTAGTAATGTATTAACCACACTGACCTCTGTTCCTATAAAAGTAAACTTTGCTTACATTTATATGCAGAATTTTTTAAGTGTCATCTCTCATGTGTGTAAAAACAAGTTTCAGAGCTTCTCTGAGATCTCTAAAGAATGAGTCTCAGGAATAGCCTAGCTCTGCAGAACAACTTCTTGTCCACTGAAGAATTTTCTGGCTGTTTAGGTCCCATTGCTTGGATTTATTTTGGAATTTTTTCTTAGATTTTCATCCTACACCAGCCTATGATGCAGAAATTGCTAAGGATGTTATTGATATCAACAATATATTTTGCAGAAAGATGCGTACTTTAAAATGAGGGTAAAATGAAATGTGAATGACTTTCATTGCTTTATACATGTGGTTGCCTTTTAATGTCCTAGTATAACACTTTCTTGTGAATTTAACATTGTCAAAGAATGAAGTATTCAACACTGGAAAATGTCCAAGTAATTGTTTTAATTATGTGTTACACTGATATATTTTGTAAAGTACATTGTTTTCTTCAGTGGCTTGCTGTATATATCTAGTCCACAGATGAAAACATCAATTAAATTAATATGTCAGAAATCTATGGAAACCTCAGGGTTTATAACTTATAGGGGTTGTCTTTTTTTGTTGTTGTGGTCTAAGATTTGTTTTATTTATTTATGCATACAAGAACTGGGGTGTAGGCCAGAGGTGTAGGGGGTTGGGTGAGGATTTACCAGAGACAGAGTGGGGAACAGTACAGGCAGATCTACTGAAATACACTGTTGAGCAGAGGAGCGGGCAAGACAGGAGAGGTCTGCTACACCATGTGGATTAGCTCCCTGGCCAGGGGTAGAACTAACTCAGGCCACAGTGGCTGACAATAGCTTGATAGCGCTGAGACTAATCCCTGCATCACCAGGGAGGCCCCTAAAATTTCTTTTTAAACTATGCCTACTTTCTTTAAATTAAAAGCTACTTTCACCTAAATGCACTAAAAAAATGTTAATTTAACCACAGTATCTAACATAGATCTTGGTATATTTCTTGAATCATGCTCTGCCATTCTCTACACTACTATTTCCTTATTTCATGAATGTCCTGAGTATAAGCTGAGAACTCTAAAGGTACCCAGGAGCCTAAATTAATACAAATCTCACTCCATTAAAGTTTCTAATCAGAAATTCTTGATACGTGTAAAACATGCTGGAAATGTACATACAGAAAATACTTGAGGCTCACTAATCACAGCTCAGTCCTAGAGACTGCTTATGCTTTTAGTAAAATAAACATTAGTTCTTTTAGGAAGCTACCTTTCCATAACATTGTTGTCTTCTGAGCAAAACGGTGGCTGAAAAGTGGTGAATAAGACAGATCTGTTGCTGTTAAATGTGAAAGCAGGGAACTGATCTCCCAAATTGCCACAAGGGACTCTGCAGAATACAAAGGCCAAACAACTAGGCTAAAATGCCACTGGGTTTTTTCTGAAAGCCAAGTCCAGAGGGAAAGTATAACAAGTGGGGAAAATGAGATGATATTGTCACCAGTGACTGAAAAATCAGCCTTATCATGGGACCAGGAAAGGCATTTGAGTAGGGAGGGAAAGGTAATGGGGATGAGCATTTTCTGATAAATCAGAGTACACCAGGTCCTGGGGAATTGCAAAATAAAACCAGTCATCAACTCTCAATAAATGATTCTTTTTGATGTGGGCTGGTCATTTACCAACTGGAGGAAAGTTTCACTTGAGAAAGGGATTAGGGAATCAAATGAGTTAAAGTCATAAAGGGGGAAATTATCACTTTGACTCTATACAAGATAAAGGTTGAGATGAACCTATTCTGAGACAGCATTTCCGAATAGCCTTTGAACAGATACCAACATCTAAACTTTTAATGTTCAATTTCTTTCCCTAAGTTCTACTCTTAACCTTAGATACATTTTGATGATATTAGAAATTTAAGGTGGTCCTTTACTACATTAAATATTGCTTTAACTTTGCCATATCATCATAGTGGTAGAAACACAATGTTCATTTATAGATCTTTCAAACTTCAGTTACTAATCCTCCCTCACTTACAGAAAAACTGAGGTTTATCTAACTTAATTCACACAGTCTTTGTTTATCTTCTTTATTCCTCTGTGTAGAGGCCAGTTTATCATAACCAGGGAGATTTTGCAACTACGTAGCCCCATCCTGGCATTCTCTAAGAGGTCATTCTGATATTTCTGGTCTCCTCAGGTTACTGCTTTAAAGCACACAAAGAGGGGCCTCACCAGTGGCACAGCGGTTGATCGCTGGGTTGCGAAGCTGCCCACAGCCTCTGCAGCGCCGGTTCGATCCCTGGCCACCGGGTGAGGGTCCCACATGGCGCGCAGACCTCTCCTGCCGCCCGCTGCTCCCCTCAGCAGTGTACTTTATCAGTCTGCCTGTTCTGCTCTCAGCTCTGGCTCTGGTGAATTCTCTCAACCTCCTGCACTTCTGACTGTACCCAGTGCTTGTATAAATAAATAAATCTTTAAAAAATAAGAAAAAGATACTTTGATATTATGATCAACATAATTTGATTTATAAAAAAAAAAATAAAGCACACAAAGAGACACCACTTCCTTTCTATCTCTCTTTGCTGTCTCAGTGAGAACATTTTAACAGCTTCACTCAGGTAGTCAGATTTCTAAATATCAGATCTTGTGGAGTAGCTTCCCAGGTTGGAACATTACAGATAGGCTCAGTGACTTTTTAAATTTGAGATGAAGAGGTAAGGAACACAGAAACAGAAACAAGAGGAGACATATCATGATCCTTTCTAAGATAGCTGCAGATCCCTGGAATCACTGAAATTTTACTACAGCACAGTACTAACTAGCAATAGCCATGGGTAATATTCAAATTACTGAACTACTGGGGCAGTCTGAGTGCTGAGTGAAATCTCGAAGGTCTCACTGAGTGCCTGGGTCAGTTAGCTATTGGGTCTGGAGTGTCTGGAGGTCCCTGGGGCAGAGGTGGTTGCTGGGCACATGTGCTATTTCCCTGGGTATTTGCTAGAAAGTACACTGTCTCTGTATCTGTGTACACCCGCATCATAGGGTTCCTATGTTCAGTCTGTGCTGCTTTCCAAACTGTTCATTACAAGATACAAAAGAAAACAAATTTATGAACGAGATTTATATCTTTGCTGTATTTCCTCGATAATTATGTAATTAATCTCATTGTCTTAGTTTTTCCTTGTGTCAGTCAAGGCTTCAGAAAAACACAGTAACTGTGAAAGCTTTCTTTAGGAAAATTGCCACCTAAAATTATCACTCCCTAGTGTTGCTTGTCTTTGAAGGATTCTTAAAGGATTTTTGTCATGGAACTCTTCTAACGTGGTATAGGGTAAGTGAATTGGTCAGGCTTTTTATACCACTAGTTTCTGTGGCTTTAGCCTGTGGCCTTGATTGTGTTGCTGCAGAGGAGCTTGGGCACGTGGGCATGCATGTTTGTATTTGGGTACAGGCATGCTTAAGTGTACACACCTGAGCCTGGAGGGATGTAAGAACAGCTGTGGGAGGATGAGCAGTGTGATTACAGAAGAGGCAAGACCACGAGAAAATGCCAGAGAGAGTAAAGATTCACTGGGGGCTGAGGGAACCCCCGGACCCCTGCTGCCCTGTGCCTGTTTGTTCCACTATACAAAGTCATTAAAAATGGATAAAAACTAACTTAGCTGAATTCAGATTAAAAGAGGTATAACTATTATTATTGCCATCATCAGTATTGTTAGTGAATCGTGTCGGTATTGTTTAGACATCTTTAGCACCAATAATGATCTAAAGGAAATTTGAGTACTCTTTTTCACTATCCCCAAGTCAAATAATTTTGAATGAGATAAAAATATACTTGTCTAATAGTAGTTTATACAAATAAAAAATATGATATAAGCATTTTAGGGTTACAGTAAAATCCAGGCACTTCTATACATAAGTAAGCGGACATAAATATTTAGGATGTATATTTAAATACATACAGATACCTGGATGTTAACTGAAATGACTTTTATACTGGCATAGACTTGTAGAAACTGGCATATGAAATGATTAATAAATAAAAAAAAATGTATGTATGTATTTCTTACACATACACATGTAGACTCCATTACATTATCATGCATATCTGAGGATACATAAAATTTTTGAAGCTCAGCCACCTCATCTGGCTCAGGTGAGAATAGCACATTTGCATTAGCAACAAAATCTAAATCCTTTGTTGATAAAGGAAAGAAAAGTAAAACGTGAACTGAGGAAGATAACCTGCTTCTTTATCTCATACATTAGGGGCTTAGAAAAAGTTTCTGTGGGGAAAAAAGGGCTGTAGGAATTTGATTACATGCAGCAGCAGATGATTTATGAAAGTTCAATTATAGAGTGACCCCATCTGTGGCATTTGCCAGGAATCAAATGTGAGTGTCTTGGGGAGAGTAGAATAAAAAGTGCTCCTGAACGCACATTGAGCTTCCAAACAAAGAACAGTGTAACAGGCAGCTTCCAGGTACAAGTCTGAAAGGGCATTATAATTAAAAGTATCTGCACAGTGTTTTAAATACAATATACAAGGTCATTTCAATAAGAAACTAACACAGGCTGACAAAGAATGATGGGCATACTCAAAAAGCAAGTGTTTGCAATTGCAAGGCACATGAAGTTTCATGTACGGGCTTAAAAAAAAACCTGTCAGGAGAAAGGGTAAAATTCATTTCCCCTTCTAATTTTATTGTCAAGGTGCCACTCAGAGGCTCCAGGGACCTGCTATTGCTTCTGCATTGTTTGCATCTGCAAGGAATGGTGTGTAATCAGAAGAAACATTTTGCAAGCTCCCAAAGTTCTGTCAAAGGGGAAAAATAAGCTATTTATTGATCGACATGACAGGCAGAGTGACCAAAGCAGCAGCAAGCCATGAAACCTACATTGGGAAATGTCCGCTTAACATAGTCCATCCTCTACCTGAACCTGTCTGTTCACTCAGTGAAGCGCTAGTGGAGTGGGGAAATCTAGGCTTGCAAGATGCTGGCTTTCAACTCTTTTTATGTCGTGTTTCCTCCATGACAGGGACATATCATTTCCTCTGCAGTGCTTCCCTGACTATACAATGAAGATAACACGTTTTTCCACTTTGAGCTGTGATGAGGCACTGCTCAGGTAGATTCTCTTAGGTGAATAAATCTAACATGAGCAATGGAGATTGTAGCAGCATTTACCAACAAATTCCCCGAAGCAAACTCAAAAGACACACTTGGGCTGTTCATATACACAAGTTACAATATGATTCCCAGACCACTGTTCATTTTGTCCATCCTGTTTGGCCCCATTAAAACGCAGTTTTCAAAAGACAGGGAATAATAAACATGTAATTCTCTGTATTCTAAAATAATACAGTTTTGTATTCTGTATTCAGGTGTATTCTAAAATAGATGTTTTTTGAGCATGTCCCAGGTTTTACCAAGCCAAGTTTTCAGCACTTTACACATAATACTTCATAATCTGTACAATAACTCACTCCATGGTTAAAATATTTTTATCCCCTTTTTATAATTAACCAAAGTGAGACACAGTGGATAAATTTCCCTAGAGGTACTGGTTTTCCTTTGCTTGTAACAAATTAACACAAACAGTTTAAAAGAGCACATGTAAACTTACTGTCTCTGGGTCAAGATTCCATATACATCTTAGCGCTGCTTTGCACAGGGACAAGTCTGCGTACATGTTGTCAGCTGGGCTAGATTATCATCCTGAGGCTCAGATGGGAAGACTCAGCTTCCCAGGTTTCTGGGGTCGTTGTCAGGACTTGTCTTGCCCTGTAAGAAGGAGGACCTCATGAATGGCTGGAGGTGCTGCCCCAGGGTCCCAGAGGCCGCCTGCTCTTCCTAGTGCCACGGTTTCTCCAACTTGGCTACTTACATCATCAAACCCAAAAGACATTCTCTTAAGTCAGGAAAGGTTCAGTTCTTCCTTTCAGGACTGTTTGTCTTTTAAAAAGTCAGGGCCACCCAGTGTCCTTTCCTTTTTAACTCAAAATCAACTGGATTGAGACTTTAATTATCTCTGTGAAATCTCTTCACCTTTGCCATATTCTGCAGTTGGAAATCACAAGACCCACACACAAGAAGTGGCAATTGCCCAAAGGGGTAAACAATAGGGGGTAGGAACTCTTAAGGGTCACCCTGGGGTCTGCATGCCACACTAGTCAGTGCTTCTCAAACTCTTTTATACTTTTAAATCATCCATTCATCTTGTTGAATGCAGATTCTGATTCATTAAGTCTGGAATAGAGCGTGAGTACACTTTTACAGCTCCTGGATAATCTGATGCTACAGGCTGGTCTGGGAACCAGCAAGACACTATAATGCTGGAGTCCCCAGCAGTTTGAGTTTCTGGCCCCCTAATCTTAACTACTTTACTGTGCTCATCAGATCTCTGATGAGGACTGAATATAAGCTTATGGATTGTTATCATGAATCTGCTTTTATTTTCATTCCCTATTTATCTTTGGTCATTAACCCCATGGTATTCAATGTCATTGACATCTCATTGTCTCTTTTTTGCATTTGTGAGATTTATGGAACAAAATTTTAACATAGACAATTTAACATTTGCGTGAAAGCTTCAGGCACATTCTAGATGGCTTACGACCTCCATCCAGTCCCTCAGGCAGGTGACCTCTGTCCTGACTAGGACTGACAATCCTGGGGAGAGAATTTTGCCTGTTCTATGAATTCCCCATGCTGCCTGCTGAGGAGTGCTAGAAGTGTGTTGCTCCAAATTCTCAACCAACACCATCCCTTAAATGAGAGAGGTTTCTTTGTTTTAAAAATTGGGTCTCCAGGGATATTTTCATTGACCAAATATTTATTTATAAAGTGTTACAGGGCAACCCTGATATAAAATGAGTTGCCTGACTGGGGGTCCTCAGGACATCCTTTCCACCTAACAAATTACTATCAGGCAAGCCTTTTCCTTTAAAAACAAACAAACAAAAAAGTAAAGGCTTTAAACACTTCTTGGTTTTTGAGAGAATAAATATTTACTTTGAAGAAAAGACTTCACAGATTTAAAACATCATACTTAACTACAAATAACTCTCCCTGGACGTGGGGGCTGGGGAGGGAGAATTATTCTCATCCAAAGAGTAAGGAAACAAACATCCGAATGAAATCTTCTCTTTCAGTAATCTCTCCCAGAGAGATTATCTACACTCTTTTAAAAATGCTGCTGAGACTCTAACAACTTAAATTTAGCTCTCAGGCAACCTCTCTTCTCTCCCTGTGGAGTATAATTGGTGTTAGATGACAGACAGATTTTAAACAAAAAACACCTCTCCACTCAGTTTCCTTTAGCTGTTTGAGTGAGTGCCAATCTCTATTTGAAAAACAAATCTGAAGATAAGCCTGTCAGAGGGTTCTGAAATTAACATAACTCAGACCACCTCCCTGTGTCCCAAAACTTGAAACAGAGCCTCCCTGGTGGCCCAGGCGGTTGAGCTCTGCACTGTGAAGCTGTCCACAGCCTCTGCAGCGCGGGTTCGATTCCTGGCCGGCCAGCGAGAAGCCCACATGGCGCGGCATACCTCTCCTATTTTTTCCGCTGCTCCCCTCAGCAGTGTGCTTCATCAGTCTGCTTGTTCTGTTCCCCACTCTCTCTGGTGAATACTCTCACAGTCCCGTGCATCTGGCCTGTACCCCGGTTCTTGTATAAAAATAAATCTTAAAGAAAAAAACAAAAAACAAAAACTTGAAACAGTGAACTTCCAACTGTCTAACAGCTAGCTGCAAGGCTTTCTAAGCATGGCCAATGTTTTTAAAATTGGAGGATGCTTCCAGTGCCTACCATGGCACTGGGGATATTAAGGCAGTTTTCTGGCATAGATGCTAACCACAATTTTCATCTGTTTAAATAAGTATTAAGCTGTTCTAATAACTTTACCTTCCATGCCCCATTTAATCTTTACAATAATCCTGTCAAATACATATTTACACTACTCATTTGGATAGAGAACTCAGGCCGACTTTTCCCACATAATACAAAGAACACTAAGAGCATGATAGCATGCTGAGAGACAGAAGACACCCTGCAAGAAGGTACACTGGGTGAAATGGTGGCCCCAAAGGAGATATGCCAACATCCAAACCCCAGGAATCTATGAATATGACCTCATTTGGAAAAAGGGTCTTTCCAGATGCAATTAATTTAAGGGTCTCTTAAGATCATTCTGGATAATGTCGGTTGGTTCCTACATTCAGTGAGAAATGCCCTTTAAGAGAAAGGGAAAAGGAGATTTGATAGACAGAAAAGGAAGAGACAGAAGAGATGGCCATAGAAAGACAGCAGCAAAGGGACAAGTCCCTAGTGGCGCAGCGGTTGAGCGCTGGGTTGCGAAGCTGCCTACAGACTCTGCAGCACCGGTTCAATCCCCAACCGCCCCGGCAAGGGTCCTACATGGAGCGCAGACCTCTCCTGCTGTACCCACTGCTCCCCTCAGCAGTGTACTTCGGTCCTTCTGCCTGTTCTGCTCCCTGATCTGGATCTGGTGAATTCTCTCACCCTCCCACACTTCTGACTGTACCCAGTGCTTGTATAAATAAATAAATCTTTAAAAAAAAAAAAAGACAGCGGCAAAGATCAGAGTGATACAGTCACAGGCCAAGGAAGCCTGAAGCCACCAGAAGGTAGTAGAGGCAAAGAGATTCACCCCTGGAGCCTCGAAAAAGACATGCTGACTTCTTGACTTCTAAACTCCAAAAATATGAGAAAATAAGTTTCTGTTTTAAACTACCCAGTTTGTGGTGATTTTCACAGCAGCCCTTGCAAAATAATAGACTTAGGAAAAAAAAATTCTGTGTTAGCCAGGACTGATGGAGTGTCTGTAATTACCACTTGTGCCTGAATTTCCAATTCAATTATATACCTGAGAGGGTGAGGACAGTGCCTCTTTCATCTTTGTACCCCTGACATTTATGATACTTACCTGAGGCTCAATGAATGCTTATTGAATAGGACAATAGACATAGTTCAACTTCCAGCAAGTGGAAATGTTGAGACTGCTAGTCTGCAATATCTGAGAACACACAGAAGAGGCGGCTGTGGCAAGTCAATCCCTTTCAAAGGAGTCAGACTAGACTGAAATCATCCATGTGGCACTTCTGCAGGACTGAAGAGGAGGAACAGGACCCCTTCCTCATTTAGGGGAATACAGGGTGCTTTTGGGAAGTTCAGGCCAATCGATGTTTCCAGCCCTCTACTCAAAACATTGCCATGGCAATGGAAGCTGTTTTCTGTAAGTTTTGACATGAAAAATATGTGTAGGAATAAACCTGAGACATTTCTAACTTTCATCTTACTGTTGTTTTACTTTGTATTTTTGGTTTTTAAATAAATGTATTGTCAAAACATACAAAGGTATGCAGTAAAATCTTCCCTGCCCACCACCCATCTATTCACTATTTGTTTAGTGTCTATATACTACTCTCTGTGCTTGGGATACATCAATAAGAGACAAAAACAACTGTCTACAAGGGCTTCACATTCAACTGGGACTGATGTTTCTTTGAGACACGGGGAACTTGTACAGTACTACTGTGTGAGTGTAATCACTAAAGAATTGGGAGAGTTCAAGCAAAAATCCCTGTTTCCCATTTCTGTTGAAGCATCACTTCACCAGTTACCCGCTATCCAATTTACCTCACACATTTAAATGACCTGCATGGTCCTGGAGACGTTTGAGTTTGTGATTTCTATTCTTGCCCACTGAGAGTTTCTAGGGGCCGCCCTGGTGGCACAGGGGTTAAGTCTCAGCACTCTCTCCTATGTGGCTTGTGTTCCACCCCAGGCCAGGGAGCTAACTCACATATGGTGCAGCAGACCTCTCCTGTGTCACCCACAGCTCCCCTCAGCAGGGTATTTCAGTAGATACCCCTGTTCTGCTTCCCACACTGTCTCTGGTGAATCCTCTCACTCTCTGCACCTCTGGCCTACACCCCAGTTCTTCTATGCATAAATAAAATCTTAAAAAAAAAGTTTCTAGGAGTACAGCGTAGCTTCATGACTGAAACTTTGTTCATATTGCTCTTCAAATTCGTATACCTTTTCTCCACCTGGTAAACTTCTTCTCTTTGAGAGACCAGATAAAAATAATTTCTGTTAAGTATTTCCAATAAAACTAGTCAATAGTCCCATAAAGCTTACCTTATATGGCTCAATAATCCCATAAAGCTTACCTTATATTTCTTTTTTTTTTTTTTAATATTAAATTTTATTTTTATATTACCCCATACAATGGCAAACGCCCCATTCTGACCCCAATCCTTCCCCTCCCGCCCCCCACCCCCCAAA